GTGTGCCCCGCCACGGGTTTCTAGATGGACTTCGTGGATTTTCTGCCGCAGCTGGATGACGGCCCCTATTTTTCCGCTTTTTGGGAGGGAGGGAGGGAGGGCAAGAGGGTGACTTTATGTGTGGTTAGCTCCATCCTCCGCACCTTGTTGCCTGGCCCCCTAGAATAGCTACGAGGAGCGCGGGTTTGATTGTGTTTTGGCCGTAGTGGCATCCATGACGTGGTTTGCCGAAGAGAAAGGGAAGGGGAGATAATGCCCGCGTGTGTGCTTTGCTTGCTTGCTTGCCTGCATGCCCTGCCCGTCTACTTGGCCAAACTGAAGAAAATGTAGTTATAATTGATATACGATCGCGAGACTGCCGACGCCGGTAGTTGTTATGATATTGCTCATGGAGATCCGGGAGACAATTTCCAGCGAAGCAGGAGGATTCACCTACCACGTAAGTGGCCATCAGTTATGGTGCACTCGGGCAGGGCCGGGCGGGGGAAGAGCTGTCTCTTATACACATCTAGATGTGTATAAGAGACAGGTCTTGGGGAGCAGCGCCAATGCCCCGTTTGGAGACGGGAGTTCTCCGGCAGCTAGGGTTTCTGGGTATCGATCGTCTTCGTCCCTTCATACTGTAGGCAAGTTATCGGGATCGGGACCCGTGCAGCAGTCTGTAGCGAGATTAGCCACATTGCCATAGGAAAAGAGCTTGCGAGCCACCGGGTGGTGGCATTCTTTCATGGAACGCGCCTCCAGCTTTCCTTTTTTCCTTCACCGTCTCCTCCTCCCCCTCCTTCCTCGTCCAGCACCTCCTTCCTCGTGCTTTCTCTTTCTGTGCGTTCTCGGCCAACCATCCTACCTCCCTTCTGTCCGGCTGGAATGTGTTCCCTGAATCGGATGAGTGGTGGCCGGGCGGAATGTAGACCTGTGGTCCCTTCTGTCTCTTTTCCTGGTCTTGTTCTGCAAATCCTCTTGTAGCCTACAGAGCCCGAACCTGTTTGCTTCTTTCTTTGATTTCTACTTTCCTTCTCTTGTTTTTTCCCCCTAACACTCAGTCCCCCTCCTGCAATCCCCTCTATTTGT